AAACACATTTAAGCCAAAATTTAAATATCATTTGACTCTTAAGATATATATATTATTTGAGTTTTGCCAAATTAGGGCCAAATTGTTAGTTAGTTTTTGTTTTAAAAAAGATAATTTTTTTAATTAATTATTTTTACAAGTTTTCATATTTCTATTTTAATTCTTCAAACAATATAAAATGACTTTGTTAAAATCTTAAGCTTTAAAGCAAAAGCTATTTTGAATAACCCTATTTTTTAAAAAACTAGCTTTTTAAAGTGATTTTTATGATTAAACAAACATAAATTTAGCTTCATTTAATTTTAATATGCAGCAAACTGATCTAAGTTCTAATCCTCTAATCCTTTATAGACTTAAACGTTGAAAACACGAACAAGCGAACCTTTAGAACTTGGAACAACACTGTCCTGAAATTAATACTTATTTACGTAAAATGCACAAGTCTCGGGTACAACTTGGTGCAAAATCATGACACTAAACTAGTAAAACAATTCATAACCTAGGAATTAGAGTAATAAAGAAGGAGAAGATTGGTCTCGTGAAAGAGAAGAAGAGAACTTTGCACACATATAAAAATATATATAAGATTGATACTTAATAAATTCTTAGAACAAATTGATATATACGATTTATTTTCATTTACAAAAAATGAACTAAACAATGTAGGACATAACTTTTGGAAATACCCTAAAATTAATGTACCACACACGCATCCTCAACACTTGATTCCAAAGGAGTATAGGACGGTGAGACATATATGTCGGGCACCCTCGTACCCTGAGCACAACCATCATCACTTCTATTGAATGAATTCACTTTTAATGTAGGATTTTGATTAGTTTCGTTATAGGTTGAATTCGGGCCCATTGAATTTATATGCCAAGAATTTAGTTACGGGGCATTGATTTGGGGCTCTGATTATGGAAACTGTGTCGTGGGACCAGTATCAAATATATATCTCTTGATGAATGTCATATTAGAAAAAAAAATATTATATTAATTTTTTAATGTAATATTATTAATCTCTTTTTTATTTATGTCCCTATAATATTATGTAGAAAATAATTTTTATATTACATTATTTTTAGTAAAAAAATTAATTATAAGATTAATTTTATAAAATTATTATTCTTTTTTATATATTTATTAACTTTTTATATTTATAAAATAATCTAAAATGACACTTATTATAATATGAAAAGAATATATAATATAAGTGTTTAAATTAAAGGTCAGCAAAATAATTTAAATTCTAAATTTGATTGAGAAAAGAAAAATTGAATGCAAGTTTTGTATTTTTAACAATCTCTAGACCAACCTGAAATTTTGACAATTTCAAACACGATTGCGTGTTCAAGATGTTGTCAAACGGAACCGTATCCCAGCTCTTATTAATAAATCAACTGATCTTATTTCATGGACCATCGATGTCCCAAAAATATTTGGGACCATTGAAGCAAATGCCCCTTACATAACGTAAAAATTCAAAAGTTCCCTCTCTATGATACTTATTTTTAGACATGATCCTTGTATTATCACGTTTATTTAGCCAAAGTTATACTCTTACTAAGCAAGGCATGCTGCAACTGGTGCTAATTAATTGTACTAAACCAATAAATGTCTCAGTTATTGTGGTTAAAGAAGCTTTAGCTTTAATCTTAAGAATAATACCTACTCACTCGGTTATGCATGTATAGTGAGATTTGAAAATGACAAGGATTTCCAATTTGGCCACATCTGCAATTAATTCATAATTATAAACTAGTCGTAATCTTGAAATCATAGTGTGGGAAGAAGCTCTCTGCTTTCTACTTTCTTCAATAAACTTATCATATTAGGAAATTTCCATTATGAAGCTTATGTTTTCTTTGTTTTTGTTTCCCCAATGACTCGTTTTATATCTGCAAATAAGAGGCTTGTATTAATGACTTATATCCAACCTTTTTATATTATGTTCCTATGGCAAACAAGTACTATCAATGAGAATCTTTTTTTTCTTTTTTTTTTTTATCCGAATGGTTAGCCTTGATAACTTCCTTTTTCTTAATTAGTCTTTTGATTGATATTTCCACAAAATTAGATGTGAGATTAACCTGTTACTCTGAGTAATGGTTAATTAAAACAATTATCAAAGTAGTAATTTTAGTGTCTGAGTTGCAAGTAAAGTTCCTCCCAAGTCAAGTTCTAGCTACTATGATTTATTATTATTGTGTGTTTGGTTTGTCGTGTTCACACATTTTAAAGCTGCAAACGGAGAAGTAACAAATACACCTTAAATTTTTGTTATTTAAATTTCAAATATGTATATAGTCTCTCACTTTATCCTTTAGCAGTTTAAGGGAATTTTTGCCCTTTAACAAGAATAAAACACGTGCATACTGAATGATTCTCAGAGAAGCTATATTTTAGCACATAATTTAATTGTTGAACCCCTTGCAAACTATAAAGCTAATTTTTCTAACAGGTTTTCATTTTATAGATTTCTTCTGTGTCGTGCATGCTTAGTATGGTTTCAATAATAATAAATATTTTATGTCCGGTTCAGTTCAGGTGTAAACAGTATAAATTATACAGACTTCTTCAGTAAAATAAGGGTAACAAACAATAATTATAATAGTAATCATACACATATATACATCATCTAATTTATTTTCCATCTTATTTCCAATTCATCTTTTTCTTATCTCTTTTTTCTTTTTCACTTTCTATCTAAAACGAGTACGTAAATTAATTAGTACAAAATTGTATCTAAAAACAAGGACATAAATGAATTGGTACAAAAATGTTTTAATTTAGGGGGGTGTATTGGTTTAGGATTTCGTAAAATTTTAAAAGACTTTTTTTGAGTAAAAAAGTCTATTGGTATTCAATCAGGATTTTATGTCACTTAAAAACAATTCAGAGATATTCAATCTGGATTTTCAAGATTTTTTAAAGAGTCCATTAATATCCACTAGTATTCATTTGAGATTTTTTACAACTTAAAAACAATCCATTGGTATTCAAAAATATAAGGATTTTAAAGGATTGTTGTGTGAGAGGGATTTTGAAGGACTTTCTAGTGTTATCTATAAATACCAGATTCATAAAACAATCCCATCCAAACCCATCGGATTTTGAAGGATTGTTTGAAGTGATTTTTCAAGTGTTTCAAGAAATTTCAAGTGAGTTTTTCATTTTTTTTTCTATGCTCCTGTCTTCTCCATTTTTTCTCTACTAATAATACTA